AATATAGTCATATCTATTCGAAAACACGAAATAATGCAAAAAACGGAGGGTGGTATGACAAATCTAGCCAATTCCGTTATAAACTTTAACGGTGTTAGAAACTCCGTTAAATGGTTTGACGAAACGCTCACGAGAAAGCCAAATCATCGCACACGTCAGCGACAACTCAACCACACTTGCCACGTAAGTGCCATGTCATTTTTATTTTAAAATAAACAAGTTAATAAATTAATTAACTATTTAATAAACAAAAATTAATAAATCTAGAATATCTTTGGAAAAAGAATAAAACAAAATTAATAAAACAAAAAAGAGATGAAAACGTCTCCTTCCCTTCGCATCTCCGGCGACCAACCCCTCTCCTCCTCTCCTTCCACGACCAACCCCAACTCCCAAACCCAATTCATCTCCTACCACTCAGTCACTCCGCCTTCCACCACCGACCCCAACCCCCAATTTGTAGTCGGTAGGTCGAGGGAAAAGAGGTCAAGATCGGGTGAGTCGAAGAGGAGCAGCTCGTCGAAGCGGAAGGAGGTGTCGGAGTGCGCCCGTCGGTGATGGTAGCTCCGCTGTGGGGTTTCCGGGGAGGAGCAGGGGGGGCGGACAATGGTGGGGGTACAGGGAGGTAGGTGAAGATTTTTGTATAAATAATTTTATTTTTATTTTTCATTTTATGAACTCGGAAAGTTGAATTTATTTTTTTTTACTTTTTTTTGCTAATCCACGTGTCCAACGGAGTATCGCCAGGTCAGCATTTCCGTCATTCTAGTTAGAGTGTTAAGTAACACCGTTAAAGAGATGGACGAAATTGGCTATTTCGTATTTTCGAATAAATATAACTATATTTATCAAAAACTTAAAAGTTATGGCTATACAAGTGTATTTCGCCTTTATATTATACCATCATATATTTTATTAAGTTCATGTTCATCAGTTCATACCAACCGAACAAGCGCCTCCACGTTTGGAGGTAGGGTGAACAAAATCAACCCCAATCCCTTCAACCGACTCCATCCAGTTGTATATATCGTAAAATATTCAATGTAGTTGTATTTATCATCAAAATTAACGTTTAGGTTTGGGTGAGAGTATTCTGTTGTAGAATTCGTATCTTTTGGATTGGGTGTTGGTTTTGGATTACGCGTTGCAGGTCATAGATACTTGACTCAAGCCAATATTATAAGTGTTCGTGTCCAAAACGTACTTGTGTTATATACAAACATATTTGTGAGGAAATTAGGATACCTCGTTATATTTTTATCACATGCTCTTAACTAACCGACATAGGTTAAGGTAACAGACAATTTGTTAAACAGTATTAAAACTAGCTCTAGTCACTATGAACATTTCATTTTAATGACTTTTTTATTTTCAATGTGTTGGCCACATTTAATGCATAATTATAAAGGGAGAGCACACTTGTCATTATTAAAAATTGGCGGAGGGTTACAAGTGTGTGGTGTTGTACATTAATTTCGCATCACCGCAAGTATCTCGAAGCATACCACAAATATCAGAAAACATATGTAAAACTTATAAGGCATACCAAAACCTCACCACAAAAAAAAGTTTCAGAAAGCATACTAAAACCTCACCACAAATTTCATAAACCACATCACAAATACCAGAAAACTTATAAAGCATAATAAAATTTCCCTCAACCATGTCAGAAAAATCATAAAACATAACACATGTTCATTAAAGCAACCAACAATTTCATTAAAGCAAAACTCATACCTACTAATTGGTGTACTTGAGATGCACAAGTTTATTAAAGCATACCGTAAATTTCTTAAAAACATATCACAAGTTTATTAAAACATACCCCACAAGTTTCTTAAAACAAATCACAAGTTCCCTAAAACATACCAAAAATCTCATAAAGCAAAGCACAAGTTTTTTAAATCATACCAGAAACCTCGTACAACACACAACAAGTTCCATGAAGTAGACAAGAAACCTCATAATGCAGACCACAAGTTTCTTAAAGTAGACCAAAAATTTAATAAACTTGGACTTATTTATAAATTTTAAAAAGCTTAGGTATCAAAATGTAAGACATAAAAAATTTCTAAGTGCTAAAATTTATTTTTTTCATCAATCTTTTTAGAATTTATATTGAAAAAATTAATTTAAAGTAATAAATCTGAACATCTATTAAGTTTAGGTACCACACTATAATTTGTCTATGAAATCCAAATCCATGGGAAGAATTAGGGCTGGAAGTTTGGTAGCGGTATTTGGGATATACCGAATATCGTACCAAATTTTTCTATATTTGGTATTACCGAATACACGTATTATTTCATGGGATTGGGATTGTGATTGAATTTCAATTGTTAATCGGTATTAGGGATTACGGGATTGAGATACTGAAATATAAGCTAGTGTGCATTTTATCCTCTCAACTAGACTCTCTCATTCCTACTACGCGACCCTCAACCACCAAAAGTGTCATTTAATTATACACAGATCATTACATCACTATTTCACATTAGTATTAGTCGTCTCTCAACCTCAAATTCGTCAAATTAAAGATTACAAATTACAAGAACTTGAGATGTTAGCTCTAGGCAACTCAAGACTATTTGCTTACTCTCTTTGCCCTAAATTAAACAATAAAATTTATTTATATATTTAATTATTAATTGCAAAGGTAACTAATTATGTACTCCATAATACCGATTGGGATACCGATGTACCGATTGGGATACCGAAATTATTTAGGGATTGAGATTGATTTTAGAGTGTAATTCGGGATTTTGGTATTTGATATTGGGATACAGATACCGTACCGATTTCCACCCCTAGGAGGAATGGAGGGGAAGGGAGCTACTATGAGTAGGGGTGGAAATCGGTACGGTATCTGTATTCCAACACCAAATACCGAAATTCTGAATACCGAATAACACCCTAAAATCAATCTCAATCACAATCCCTAAATAATTTCGGTATCCCAATCCCAATCCCTAAATATTTCGTTATCCCAATCGGTACTTCGATATCCCAATCGGTATTATCAAATACGAAATTAAGTACATTTACAATTAATAATTAAATATATAAATTAGATTTGATTGTTTGATATAGGTCAAAGAGACTAAGTAAAGAGTCTTCCGTTTGGCTAGTGCTAGGATATCGATAAAGAGAATGGAAGAGAGCTGGCATCTCAAGTTTTTTTTCATTGTTAATCTTTAATTTGACAAATTGGAGGCTGTGAGAAGACTAATACTAGTGTTTGCTTTTTGGTGTTATAAAATTAACAAGAGATTGGTGATTGAGTGCCGTGTAGTAGTAAATGAGAGAGACTAGTTGAGAGGATAAAATACACACTATATTATATTTCAGTATTGTTCGGTATTTCGGTATATACTGATCCCAATCCCATAATCCCTAATATCGAATAACAATTGAAATTGAATCCCAATCTCAATTCCAAGAAATAATACGTGTATTCGGTAATACCAAATATAGACAAATTTGGTATGGTATTCGGTATATCCCAAATACCGGTACCAAACTTCCAGCCCTAACTATGAGTGTGTAATTACTATAATACTCTTAATGAATTATGTTAACATGGTGCTAATAGTAAGTGGTTACCACCCTATACAGACGCCTAACTAATCTAATACATTGTTCAACTGAGAGGTAGATTTGATACATACATGCTATGATTGTCTTTTTCTTGTGTATGACTTTAGTATAACATATTATGGATGCGCTCGCTTATAAAAAAACCTTTTTGGCTTATTTCGGTAAATTTTAATGAAAAATACTGGAAATATGTTGAAGCAAATTACACTTCATCGATATCCAAGCAACAACTTTTATGCATTTTCATAATTTTAGTTTCAATTTATTTTTTTGAAATTTAATGTCATATAATCTTTCCTTTTTTATGGTGCAAAAGAGTTGATTTGTTGTGTTGGATTTACTTAACATTATAGACGACCCAACGCAACCCAACTATAGACACATTGTAGGATTCTAATTATTTTTATAGATCTAAATTTTCTAGTATGTTTGAATTTAATATTTTCAAAACCAAAATGTATGTTGGAATTGGTGGTGGATTTAGCGGGGTACTATTAGGATTTTAGAAAATGAAGAATTTAGGTAAAACCTTGGATTTTATGAATGAAGGACTATGTGAGATTGTGTTATTTTGGATTTGAGTTGGATTTTAAAAAGTGCATGTTTGCTTGTTGGATTTCATATTGGATTTGTGTCCATGAGATTTATAATTATGGATTGAATTTACATTTGTGTCCTTAATGTTCGATATAGGAAATATTGAAAAGAGATGATGATAGACTCGTCATTTACCATCATAGATTTTAACCTCTTACAAAATTTCAACTAAATAAGTAGAATTTTATAATTTGTCCACCCCACATATTTTGACCTCAAAATAATCCCACATACATGGACCCCACACACCATAATCCAACACCACTTTAACACTAAACATGAGATTTGACCTTTGTGAATAATACCATGGTGTGGGATTTTCATCGAAAATCCATGATGAAAATCGACCTCTTAATTCCTTGCATTATCTGGGCCTATTATTAACAGTACAAAAGAAACATGAACAAGGTAATAAAAGCCCAACCGTTTTTCTCTACACTACAGTCTCCATCATTTCATCCCTTTCAACCTGAACCACAGTTCTCGCGCCAAAAACCGAAACCCTAAATTCGGTCAATTAATCGGATCAAGTGTTCACGATTTCTAATCCCCTCCAATCGAGTTTGGATCGCAGCGAGGTTAGTTAGCTGATTCCTGATTGCTCTGTAACGCTTCTGTGCCCGATACGGTGTCCCTCAATGGTTATGGATAACAGGCCAATCCCAGTTTGTTAATTCCGTTCTTGCTCAATTTTGGTGTCCAGTCTCTTTCGTTTTCTTCTTTTAGGTAGCATCGACTTCATATGTGGCCCTGTTTTGTTTGTGCGATAGGTCGGATTGATCTGAACTTGCCTCTAGTTGAACGCTATGAACAGAAGCAGCAGCTCCGATCTGGAAAAGGATGGAAAAAGGAGCCGTGAAGAAGATGGACATGCTACTGAAAGGTTAAGCCATCTTCCAGAACCCATTATTCATCACATTCTTTCGTTTCTAGAAACCAAATGGGCCGTTCGAACATCTGTGTTGTCCCGATTCTGGAGGTGCGCCTGGAAACATGTCCCTGTCCTCAAGTTATATAGTAATTCCTTCCAACAGTATTCCAGTTTCGAGAGATTTGTGGAGAACATTTTGTCCCTCCGTCATCCCTTTACTGTCCGCTCGATGACCTACGCTGTGAATGATGAGTTAGAGTTGGAGGAGGAGGACGATGAGGAGGAGGAGGAGGTCGAGGAGGAGGATTCAGAAGAACGAATATTTAATCAGTTTGTCAAGGTTATCAAGTATGCTTTATCCCATGGCATTCAACACTTGACCTTTTCTCTGTTCTATATTGTGGATGTCCAAGACACTTACGGATTCTCAGATTTGTTTGGCACTATCTCAAATTGCAACCTCAAAACCCTAGACCTATTTGGTGTCCACATCGATGGTGGATTTGGATCTTCTGGTTTTTCAATGCTGACAACTCTCGAATTGGAGATTTTTCCAGAGATAGCACTGTTTAAAAAAAAAATTCCAAAAATAGCACCCAACTCCGAAAAATTCCAAAAATAGCACCATTTTTGTAAAACCGCAACCCGGAGGTGTGTTTTTCGATGAAAACGCCACCCGAGGGCGCGTTTTTCGATGAAAACCGCACTGGTAGGGAGCGGTTTTGCAAACCGCACCCCCAGGGTGTGATCTGCCTTTTTTTTTTTTTTTGCAAACCGCACCCCCAGGGTGCGATCTGTTTTTTTTTTTTTTTGAAAAATCCTAACTTAGGTGGAAACTTCAAACGAACGTATCTTTATGTTCGGGTATCCGATCGTCGCGATTTTTTTTTTTTGATTCCGCATAATTTTTCGAGATCTTGCAAGCAGCAAACCGGCCTTCGTCCCGAAAAAACGTCGTTTGCTACCCCGAACGAGCCTTTTTTCGATTTCGTCAAACTTTGAACGACCATAACTTTGTGCTCCACAATCCGAAAATCATGAACTTTTTTTTGATTTTGCATAACTTTTTGAGGACTACAATTTTTTCTAGGAGAGAATTTTCAAAAAATGAATTATTTTGGATATACGGGGTTTTGGGAATAAGTTTACCTTTCTTTTTAGGAATCCAAGTACATTCCGAAATTATGCCTATGATAAAAATTTTAGTCCTCAAAAAGTTATGCAAAATCAAAAAAAAAATCATGATTTTCGGATTGTGGAGCACAAAGTTATGGTCGTTCAAAGTTTGACGAAATCGAAAAAATGCTCGTTCAGGGTAGCAAACGACATTTTTTGGTTCGAAGGCGAGACCAAACCACCTTTGGCAGTCTTCGGCTTGCAAGATCTCAAAAAGTTATGCGGAATCAAAAAAAAAATCGCGGCGATCGGATACCCGAACATAAAGATACGTTTGTTTGAAGTTTCCACCTAAGTTAGGATTTTTCAAAAAAAAAAAAAAAAAAAATCAGATCGCACCCTGGGGCTGCGTTTGCAAAAAAAAAAAAAAAAAGGCAGAACGCACCCTGGAGGTGCGGTTTTCATCGAAAAACGCGCCCTCGGGTGGCGTTTTCATCAAAAACGCGCCCTCGGGTGGCATTTTCATCGAAAAACGCACCTCCGGGTGGCGGTTTAAAAAAAATGGTGCTATTTTTGGAATTTTTCGGAGTTAGGTGCTATTTTTGGAATTTTTTTTTAAACAGTGCTATTTCTGGAAAAATCTCCGAATTGGGGCAGTGCCTACTAGCTTCTGATCAGGATGGCGATTTCGATCCTTTCTCTAACTTTCCGTGTCTGAAGAAATTGGTCCTGGCTCATTGCAAGCATCTGGACAGTGAGGTGCCTGGGCATGAAAGGCGTCTCAAGATATATGGACCCCAATTGCTTAGTCTGGAACTGGAGTTAGTTTGGTCGTCTCACATGGAAATAGTTGCACCCAGACTCAAATTCTTATGTCTTGAACATGACCTGGAAAATCTGAAATTCTCTAACTTAAGCTTTCCTGCCCTTGATCATGCTTATATTCATATCTATGATGACTTCCATTTCATGGAGGGTAACAAGGAATGTGCGACAAAAGGTTCAATCTCTTTGCTCCAAGCTTTAAGTAATGTAACCTCAATAAAGCTGCATTCCTGCACCATTGAGGTATTGTTTTGGTTTATATTGTTGTTATAAGTGTTTCTTCCTTGAATATTACCTGGTGTTAAAAATTGGTTTGTATTTCTGTAGGTACTGAGTAATATTTCAGAGTTTCTGGAACAACAACCCTCTCCCTTTACGAGATTGAATTACTTAGGCGTGCGGGGAGACACTGTACCTTACCAACTGCGCAATTACTTTCTGAAAGGGTCATCTAGTTCAAAACCAACTCTTGAGTTTGCATAGCGTTATGGCTAACCATTTTGCTTCAGTTGCTGATCACGGTTAGTAATAGTTTAGTATTTCCTTTATTGCATGGTCATATAGGAATAGTTCTTGAAGAACTATGTCATTCTTCTTTTGCTTGGCAACATTCGGCAACTTCAGATATCTTGAGTTTCAGCCACATCAGCTTCATTTGAATTTGTGATTGCAGTACTTCAGCTTAGTTCTTTGTTCATATGTTACCTTCTTAATCAGGAGCCTTCATCTGGAAAGGTTTGGTCTTTCCTCCGTTATGTACTCTGGGTGTTTGCCCTAATGGGTTGCCGTCCAAGTTAACTTGTTCTTTGGTGGACTAACCGAGGTTTTTTAGCTGTATTGTTGCTACTTACATGCTAGATAAGAAGCATATAATTAGAATCCGTAGCATGGTTTTGCTGCTGAAGTCTGAATTTTGATACATAACTGTTGAATGATGTTATCGTGCAGCAGTGGTAAGTCTACTAATCGTTAAGTATTAATGATTTTTCGCTCCCTGCTATTTCTGTTGCTTATTTATGCTTTCCCTAGATGACATTGGCAATTTGGCATGGTTCAGCAGATAGAGGTTGCCGAGTAAACCTCTCTACAACGCTGAATCAGCCTTGCACTCCAATTGTCGGAACAAACTATTCCGACTCACTCTACTGTTTCGGTGCATGTTACCTGTGTCGTTTCCAAAGTATGAATTGCTTTGTCCATCTCCAAAATCAGTAATCTTTTTAGCTAGGTCATACTTCACCATCTTATGCACGAGTAACTCATGTCATCCCTATCCACTATTACTAGTGACAGGGTAAGCCATCTTCCAAAGTTCATTATTCGTCACATCCTTTCATTTCTCGACACCAAATACACTGTTCAGACCTCGGTATTGTCTCGAGGGTGGTGATGCGCTTGGAAACATGTCCCTGTCATTGTTTTTCATAATAATCCCTTCGGACGGTAATCGAGTTTCCAAAGGTATGTTGATAATTTATTGTCCCTCCACCATCCCTGTAATGTGCGCAACATTTTTTTTCCCCCAAGAAATGTCAAGAGAGAACCTATACAATCTACCAAGACCCTGTCCAACCCAATACATTAGTGAAGCCAGCCAACAAAATCAAAGGCGCACAACTCTAGAGGGGAGAGTAACAGGGCTTTCTGCGCCACTCTATGGGCAGCCCTGTTAGCAGTCCGAGGAACTGCCCTAAACTCTAAAGAAACAGAGACAGAAGACAGGAGAAGGAAGCAATCCCGAAGCACCGGACCTCCAATGGAGTCAGAGAGAACACCTTGACGAAGCTGACGAATCACCACCTCTGAATCTCCTTCTACGATGACTCGAGGCAGCGACTTGGAGACTAAAAGGGAGATGGCGTCTCTAGCAGCAAGGAGTTCCGCAATGTAGGGATCAGCGATACCGGGGTGAAGAGACCCTACTGCCAGAGCCACATGCCCGTCAGAACTGCGCACCACTAGACCAGACGAGCACCCAGAAGGACGAACAGCAGCATCAAAGTTGATCTTCACAAAACCATCAGGAAGAGGGGACCAATACGAGAGGCGAGAGCGGGAAGGCTGGGGCGGAGCAGGGACCAAAGGAAGGGAGGAAGACAGTTCGCGAACTTGGAAAAAACACTGACGAGCGAGAGACTGGGCATGAGGCTGGACATGCTCAAAGACCACCTTATTTCTAGACTTCCAGATCCTCCATAATACACAAACGTATAGGAGAATGTGGGTTTGGGGGTGCTCAGACTTGAGTTTAGACCCATTAGCGACCACAATCTTGTGGCCAAGGGGCATTTGAAGAACAGATGTTCAAGACTTTCCGGTCTTCTCCAGCAAACTGGGCAGCGAACAAGACAGTTTACTCCTCTAGACTTGAGTGCTACTACTGTTGGTAATATCACTCTAAGGCACTGCCAGATAAAGAACTTCAGCTTCGGAGGGGTTAGCATGTCCCATGTTTTCTTCCAGATAGGAGGGTCAATGATTTGGACCAGTGGTTTTCGGCTCGAAGCTAAGGATAGCTCAAGAGCTAGATGGTATCCCGTTTTAACTGTATATGAACCATTTTTTGTGTAATGCCAAACTCTCGTATCTCTTTGTTGGCATCTCGGGAGTGGGGTTTTACATATAAGACTTACTGTTATAGGATCAAAGCAATACTGCAGCCTTGGAACATGCCACTCTCCTCTATTTTCCCTGATGAAGAAGGACGCTCTTGGGGAGTTAGTTATGTTCGAGAGGCGGACCAACGGGGTGAAGGGTTTTTCTGCACCAACCCACTTATCTTTGAAGGCCACAATGTCTTGCCCATCTCCAACTTGCCATCTTAACCCTTGGAGAAGGAGGTCTCTTCCAACCAGTATGCTACGCCATCCCCATGAAGGATTCGAGCCTAGATTAGCATCCAACACTGAGTCATGCTGAAAGTATCGACCTTTATAGATTGAGGCCAGGAGAGAGTCCGGATTTTGCCAGATTCGCCAACATTGTTTTGCTAACAAGGCTTGGTTAAAAGCCCCAAAGTCCCTGAATCCTAAACCTCCAAGAAATTTACTATGCGCCAAGCTTTTCCAGGATACCCAGTGTATTGGGTGATCAGCATTCTCTGCTGAACCCCACCAGAATCTGGCCACTTGACTATTTAGTCTCCTGCAATTCTCTTTAGGGATCTTGAAACACGACAATCCATGGACAGGAAGATTGGTGGCAGTTGTTCTAATCAAAATGTCTTTTCCAGCCTTAGATAGCATCCGCTGTTTCCACCCTTGTAATTTCTTAATGAGCTTCTCTTCTATGAAAAGGAAGGCCTCTCTTTTTGATCTAGATATGATTGATGGGAGACCCAAATAATAATCTTGTTCTCCAATGCTTCCCACTCCTAATTGTCCTCCTAGCTCCTCAGCTAGGTCTGGGTTCGTGTTGCGACTGAATAATACAGCTGACTTTTGTAGGTTGACCCTTTGGCCGCTCAGGCCTTCGTAAACTTGGAATAGGGAAAGAACTGTTGAGCAAGATTGCAGGGTAGCCTCTAAAAAGAGATAAGAGTCATCCGCAAAGAAGATGTGAGAAACCATCGGGCAATTTGCCCAGACTCTGACTCCTTCCAGATACCCTACTACTACTGTGTGTCTTATCATTGCAGAGAACCCTTCTGTAAAGATAGCGAATAGGAGAGACGATAAAGGATCTCCTTGTCTAAGTCCTCTTGAGGGACGAAAATAGCTAGAGGGGATCCCGTTCACCAGAACCGAATAGGAAACTGTTGTGACACATTCTTTTATCCATGATATAAACTTGTGATCAAATCCTAGTTCTTTCATTACCTCGAAAAGGAATGGCCATTCCACACGATCGTAAGCTTTTTCCATATTTAACTTTAATGCCATCCATGTTCTTTGACCAGAGGTCAGAGTTCGGAGATGATGAGTTATCTCATGGCTAATTAGAATATTATCGGATATTTGACGGCCTTTGATGAAACCATTCTGGGTTTGGGATATTACACTGGGGAGGACCCGGCTTAGTCTATTATCCAGAATTTTTTTGCTATGATCTTGTAGACTACTTGACATAGGCTAATAGGTATGAGATTTTTCATTGATCTCACTTCTGCAGATTTTGGGACAAGAGAGATCCAAGTCCTATTGATAGATCGTAATAGATGACCCGAGTGAAAGAACGCTAGGACTGCTTGAGTGACATCGCTGCCAACCATATCCCAGTACGCTTGATAGAACCCAGCTGTGAATCCATCTGGTCCAGGGGCTTGAGTTTTCCCCATACTGAAGACAACTTCTTTGACCTCTTCTGGTGTGATTCGACCGATAAGGGCTTGATTTTGTTCTTCGGAGACGAAGCATTCAAATGGCAAGTTAGATAAGTCAATACCTTCAGTAAGTTGAGACCGAAACAAGGTTTGATAAAATTCAACTGCTATGCTTAATTTCCGGTCCCCGTCAGTACACCATAGACCCCTAGAGTCCTCCAAACCCCAGATGAAATTGGCCTGACGCCTAATTGCCGTAATCATATGAAAGTATGGGGTGTTGAGATCCCCTTCTCTTAACCAGTTGACGCGCCACTTTTGTCTCCAAAAGATTTCTTCCATTCTATACTGAACTTCTAGCCTTTCTTCTAGAGAATGAATCAGGTTCCAATCCACCATGCTATTTTCCCGTGCTTCAACAAGAGCTGAATTGAGGTCTTTTATCAGTCTGGCTGAGTTAGAGGTACCCCTTTGCACCAATCGACTAGGGCGTGACGAACTTTGAGCAATTAGTAAAATAGACAAAATTGTAAGGACCCAGTTATGGGTAGATTCCAAACATAGTCTATTATGAGTTTTGCTTCATGAATTCTAGTCCACCTAATGTCAAAATGGAATAGACGTTTAGCTCTAGACATTTCCGGAGTTGTCATGAGGCACAGGAGTCTATGATCTGACCCTTTATCTGAGAGATGATATAGACAGGAGTTTGGCCAGTGGAACGCCCAACTTGTGGAGACAAATGCTCTGTCAATTTGTTGCTCGATTAGGATGCCATTTCTACCCCGGTTAGTCCAAGTAAACTTTGGTCCCTGGAATCTCACTTCTAGCAGACCCAAAGTATTTAGAAAGTCCCAAAGGGGGCGGGCCTTGTCCATCCGCCATGGGGCTCCTCCTGATTTCTCTACCGGAGATAATGAGCAATTGACATCTCCAATTATTAGAAAGGGATCTGACAGCCTTGAACAAAATCTATTAAGTTCCTCGAGTTGTGAGCGACGATTTGTGACTATGTATGAAAGGTAAACTCCTACTAGCACAAAACGAGGGCAAGCACCGTAGCAATGGGAGTTATTATTGATGACCGAAATGACGATGAAAAAAGGGGTTGAGCCAATAACTGACACCGAAGTACCTCGTGGCCACCCAAATACTAAACCCCCGACAGGCCGGTAGGGTTAACTGGAAAGCAATCTGAAAAACCTAACCGTGACATGAAAGACTCAACTTTATCTCTAGGAGACATTGTTTCACAAAGAAATAAGAAAGACTTAGACAAATTCCGGTGAGCTTTTAGCGTTTGGAATGTCAAGGTACTCCCCACCCCTTGACAATTCCACGCGTAGACATTCATTCAGAACGCTGGGGCCAGTTGGGGCTGGCTTCCTCCACCCTTTTTCCTTTGTTTTTATCCTCGCCTGGACTCTTTGGAGTGAAATTTACCACTCCTTCTGGTTCTTGGATACAGATTCTAGTATTTCTTCGAACGTAAACTCTTGGGGACTCTGACGACTCAATCAATATTGCCTTCCCTTTTGACTTCCCATCCGCCACGCATCCTAACGGGGAGCAAGAAAAGGCTGTATCTGTAGATTGATCCATACCTTCATTATCAAAGAAATCCATCTCTACTCCTTGCAATCCAGAAAAGTGATTATCTTCAAAATCATCAAATAAAAACCCGGGATCTTCACTGCAATATAAGTTACCTAACCCATAAGAGGGTGATGGAGCCTGAACTTGGAGCGGGATGGGCTCTAGCACCAATGGCTGGGCGGACAGTGCCTCAGAGTTGATAGGCTCAAGTCTGTTTTGGGCTTGGTTGCCGAGACCAGTCTCCATCGGCAGTTGGGCCGACCTGTTGTCAATCGCCTCTTCTATTGGCTGGGCCCATTCGATTTGCGGCCCAAGCCTTGTAGGCCCAGTCGCATCACCAAATTGGCCCGCGCTTCCAGCTGCCTCTCTTCTTCCTCGTCTGAATGACCGAGGCGGACCCTGTCTCCTGCCGCCGCTGTTCTCACCACCATTACGAGACGGAGCTTCGAGGAGAAGAGTGCTGGTTCGTGACTGCGGAGAAGGCCGGGCTCTGTGGCGCCAGACATTGCCTCCCCAGTTTCGACCTCCTTTGCGGACAGTTGCATAGGAGTTTTCGTTAAGTTTCGGACCGGTTCGACTTCCGATGATCTCTGGTCCGAACCCATCGTCTCCTGTTATCGATTCAAAGGAGCAGAAGCTTTGACTATGGCCTATTCTCCGGCACCTGAAGCACACTGATTTGATGTTTTCGTATTTGAGAGAGACCCAGAAAGGATCCCCTAGCGTTCCGTCTGCATTTCTCTTTCTAGCTTCCAGTCGATGTTGCAAGGGGGACGAAACATCAATCAACACTCTGGCTTTGAACACACAGCCCGGATTTTCCCAGACAACGTACATCCCAGCATCAATGACGGAACCCAATCGCGATGCTAGCAGCCTTCCAAGAGCAACTGTTCTGTATTCTTCAGGCAGATTCCAGAACTGAACGAGGTATGGGACACGGGCAAGTTCGAGGAAGACTCGCTCAGATGGAGTTTCCCACTTTTTTAAAGTGAGAATCTTTGAATGAAGGAACCACGGGGCCTTCCCCAAGGCCTCCGGGCGATCAGTTGCGTTGGAGAAGACAAGCTGGAACAGACCATGTTCCGCATCCAGTACGGTGACCGGACCTCTTTTTGCCCATAAATTGTTGGCAGTGTGCTGAACTCGGGTTTTGGAAGGATGGGACGAGCACAGCAGGCGGCCTATCAAGCTCAGGCGAGCCCTGTTTTGGCCGGCTTCCAGCACTTCATCATTGAATTCGATTGGCCCTGCCATTGTGAGGGAAGGAGAGAGCAGAGAGTACTCTGTTTTTCCAAGAGTGAAACAAGGGAAGGAATTCGGATGGCTGGAAAATCGGTAAGACAGTCCGAATTTTGAAAAGTTTTTAAATGGTTCTGTTTTTGAAGAGGGAAACAGGTAGGCTTTAACAATTTGGGCCAAATTAGCGCCTCTATTATCGGGCTTGTGTAGATTTGCAGTGGGTGGACAATTAAGGCCATAATCAAATACCAGGCCGTTTCGACTGGTTATGTTCGAGACGTTTCCTCCATTATACCCAATTAATGATTCTTGCGATTGTGAATCTCGATTCGGGCTAATGCTTACCCCAATTGCGCCCCTAAAGGTACGCTTTCCAGGCTTAATTGCAGCCTTGACCCTCTAATAATGGGATCGAGGGACAATGATTTAATTGCAATCAATACCATTTAAGAGTATAACGGTTCATCGGGGACTCATGGTGAACGGCTGTAGGCTTACTCGATGCCGGAGATTGATCGGAGATTCTGGGACGAGGACTTGATTCCGGCGGCCAGGGATCCTTCCGTATCTGGAGGGGATTTTAGGGACGGTGATTGCGGGCGGGTGTTTCTCCCGGAATCAGGGATCACGATTTGGGGCGAAAAGGATTTGGGCTGGAGGAGAGGTCAGCTGAATCCAGGCTTATATACTGCTGTCTTCTGCCTATTTAAGGCACTAGACGGTGGTTCCCGCCTGAATGTGCCGTTTGCTCCCTCCAGAATCTTGGCGCCACCGCCAAGTCTTCGAGTTAGACTGGGCATTCAGAGGGAACGAGCCTGGGCATTCAGTGGGACCGGCTGAGAAGAATGCAGGGGCTGGAATCTGCACGTTTGGGGTCTTTACCCGAAGATTACAATCGGAAGACAGTGACGACGGATGCAGAGGATCGCTTCACCTTCCCTCAGACTGAAGGATTCATGCTCGAGATCCAGCGGGAGGCACAGAACTTGGAGAAGCTTCTGGATCCCAGTGGTGAGCCCACCATTGTCGCGCCGGAGCGGCTCCTTCATCTTCCAACAGTAGAAGATCGGACACAACCCGCTAAAATTGAGTCAATTGAGGAAAACCCACAATCTCAGGCACTCACGTCCCACTGCCTGAACCGGAGACTCCAGAGGGACCCCTTCCGCCGCCGCCGCCGCCGCCACCAGCGAGGCTGCTCTTGCGATTTGCCCGGATGCTGGAGGGTTTGGGTAGTCAGAGGATAGTAGTTTACGCATTGCAATAAGCTCAACCATCTTAACGACAGCTAGCCTGCCTATATGATTAGAAACTACTTTCTTTATTTTCTCCGATTGTCGGAGAGTGTCCCGGCTTCCGCCTGTAACAGCTAGTGGCAATTACGAGGTAGTTCACTCTGTTTCTGAAGGGAGCAAAGAAAATGGAGTGAAGGAAAGAGAAGGGAAAGGTCATTGTTCCTCCCTCTATCAGCACTTTCAACAACTTCTGACGACGATTTTCGAACTCCACGTCCACAGCTAGAAACAGAGGTGGCCGTCCGATACTCCCAAAGGCTCCAGCATCCTAACCGTTGAGACCCAACTGGTCTGTTTTAATGAAATCAAGCGCCCAACCAATAGGAATTCCTACACTGGTTTATCCTCCGGACGAGGAGAACGTGGAAGAAGAAAATAGCCTGTTTGTCAAGCTCATGAAATATGCCATAACCGATGATACTCAACTTTTATTATTTGCGTTGTTCTTTATCATCTCTACCAAAGACAATTACAGATTCTCTGATTCATTTAGCACGATCTCAAATTGCCGACTAAAAACTCTAGAAACATATGGTGTTGGCATTGATAGTGGATTTGAATCTTGAGTTTCCAGAGCTTTTGTTCGGGATGGGAGTTTGATCATTGACGTATTTGGAGAACTAGGTCCTTGAGTCATTGCCACCATTTGAACTATCCCAGGCGTGAAAGTTGCCTGAAGATATCTGGACTTCGAATGCTTAGCCTAAAAACTGGATTCAGTTTGGTCTACAGAGTACAGACTTGGAAATTTGTGCACCAAGACCCAATTTTTTAGTTTTCATCATGACGTGGGTGAACTTAAATTCTCCAAGTTAAGCTTTCCTATCCTTGATAATGTTGTTACTCAGACTGATGATGAGATCAATTTGATGGAGGAGAACACAAATGCCGTGGGAAACTGTTTGATCCCCCCTTGTTCCAAGGTTTAAGTAATACAGATGCACCACTCTCATGCTGGATTCCAGAACAATCGAGGTATCTTTCGATCCTTACTCTATGCTGTGAAGTGTTCTTTCATGACCATTGGCTTAAATTGATTTCCAGGGCGGAGCCAGGATTTCGAGACCAGGGGCGAAAATAATTAAACAAAATGCCATGGGAAACTATTTGATCCCCCCTTGTTCCAAGGTTTAAGTAATACAGATGCACCATGCATTCCAGAACAGTCGAGGTATCTTTCGATCTTTACTCTATGCTGTGAAGTGTTCCTTCCATGACCATTGGCGTAAATTGATTTCCAGGGCGGAGCCAGGATTTCGAGACCAGGGGCGAAAATAATTAAACAAAATGCCATGGGAAACTGTTTGATCCCCCCTTGTTCCAAGGTTTAAGTAATACAGATGCACCATGGATTCCAGAACAGTCGAGGTATCTTTCGATCTTTACTATATGCTGTGAAGTGTTCCTTCCATGACCATTGGTGTAAATTGATTTTCAGGGCGGAGCCAGAATTTCGAGACCGGGGGCGAAAATAATTAAACAAATTGTATGTAGTCATGGTGGATCCAACCCGTGTGTTTTAAAACACAAGTTAAGATTGTCTACCATTAGACCACATGACTATTACACAACAAAATTTACGTAACAAATTCTACTTATAAAATTCGTACTAAATATCCTTACGATCCTAGGGGCCGAGACTAATCTGGGGGGTCGGGGCCCACCCTAGATTAAGTGTAGCTCCGCCCCTGTTGGTTTCTATTATCTGGAGATACCAAGGGCAGCAGATAGGGTCAGTAACCATTGGTTACTGACCTATCAGTATTAAATCCGGACCGTAGATCTAGGGATGGCATTATTATATTGTTGGGCTGCACGTGGAGTAAGGAGGGGCATTTTTGTCCGATTTTTGAAATTTGATTTCTTTCCTTTTTTTTTATTTTTTCCAGCATTTATATGTGTTGTCTTTTAATGGAGGAAAGAGAAAAAGCAGACTTTTCTCTTCCTCTCTCTTTTCTCTTTCTTCCTTTCTCTCTTCCAAAATTCTTTTTCCAGATCTAAATCTCATTTCTTCTCTTGTTCTTCATTTTTTTCTCCAACAATCGATGAATAAATTGCAGCCTCCCACTTCAAATTCGGTGAGGCTCCAAATCCTTCTACTCTCAAGCTGCTCCTTCCTTCTGTTTTTTTCTTTTATCGGCCTCAAAATCGATGATGCTCCATATTGTCAAAGAGGGGACAGATCTAGGTGAGTTGAGTTTGCATCTTTTGTGTTTTAGTATTTGTTTGTGAATTAATTCCGATCTTCTTCCTCTTTTTCTTTCTTTTTGCATTCGGTGTTCTTCATTGCGGAGGAGTAAATGACAGGAGACAGAAGACAAGTTTTTTTTCCTCTTCCTCCTTCTGTTTCCCCTTCTTTGAGAATATATATTGAGATTACCACACTATACCATATGGTAATGTGTCGATACCATATGGTATTGACACATTACCATATGGTAATGTGTATATACCACACTATACCATATGGTAATTTGTATATACCATATGGTAATGTGTATATACCATATGGTAAAGTGTCTATACCATATGGTAAAGTGTATATACCATATGGTAAAGTGTATATACCATATGGTAATGTGTCTATACCATATGGTAAAATGTATACCATATGGTAAAGTGTGGTAACGAAATGTATTTTTATGGATATCGTGTTTTACTATGGTCGTAAAAGGGTTGTAATTAGATTTATATTATTTTTATATGGTTTTAACTTCTCATACCATGTGGTATTGTATGGTAATTACAATTAATTTGTGTTCATTCGATTAACCATGCTCTACTATGTTGGCATTGTATGGTAGTTAGATTTACCATATGTTGATATTACCATACTATACCATATGGTATTGGGTGGTAACGAAATATATATTGATATTACCACACTATATCATATGGTATTGGGTGGTAACGTAATATATATTGATGTGCCAAATTTTTTCATACCATATGGTATGGTCAATACCAGTCATTACCATATGGTAATGACTGGTAATAACTGACAAATTTTTTTATGTCTGAAAAATATCAAAGTGGATATCATTTTGAAGAGCACAATTAATCTGATCTAACTGTGCAAAAAAAATTAAATTCCGACTTAAAACGAGTGAGAAATCGTCCGTTAAAGATTAAGAGAAGGAAAATTAAAGGTTGTTTGAGGAGAGAGAAGGCGCTGATGTGATCTGGTCAGCGTCAGCGCGTCAGAGACATCATTAAATAGGGGTGCAATTTTACCTTAGTGCCCCTCCGTATTTTTTTTTTAAATAAAAAGAAAAAGCTGACACGTGGGGGCCAGGGGAAGGGGTTACTGATGGTTACTGAGGTATTGGTTACTGAGGGGATCCGCCAGTAATATCTCTGAGTTTATTGAGCAACGACCCTCTCCATTTACCACATTGAAGACCTTGACTGTGGAGGCTGATAGTGTGCCTTACTGCTTATTTTTTTTTTTTTTTAAGGATCTTCTTGTACAAAATCGATTCTTGAGGTTGTATAACGCGTTGGTTCACCGTTTTGCCATAGTTTTCGACCTTTTGGTGGGTTCTTCCTTCTAAAGACATTCAGAATTAAGGTCTGCAATTTATCTATGTATTTCATAAAATCTAGCTGCTTAGATCAAGTCAACATGCACTGGATTATCATCTCCTTAAGAGCAGTATCATTCTTTCGCTTGAACACATTCTTGCACTTTGGTCTTCGGATATGATGAGTTGCAGTCATGTTATTTATATTAATTATTAAATTATTATTTAATGATAATATATTATTTAATGATGATTTATTAATATATTTTTTTTGGCTAAATTACACGTTTGGCCACTCAAATTATGCAAATTTCCACATTTGCCACCTGAATTACTTTTCTTTCTTATTCGTCACTAACTTTATGAATCGTTTCACCGTTAGCCACCGACCGTTAGACTTCGTTAAATTTGTCCTACGTGGCAGTCAACTATAAAATTTGACCGTTAATTAGATGACGTGAAAATTAAAAAAAAAAATTAAAAATTTAATTTTCCCACTTCATGATTCCACTTACTTTATCTATATGATTTATCATATTAATTATTTAATAAAAATTAATTTAATTACAAAAATTAGTTACGTGTGGGTAAGTGCAATTGAAAGCAGACCAGATCACTCTCCTCCCTCCTTGGCATTGTTAAACAAGAAGCGCCTGACGTGTTGGGATGAATAGCTTTGAAAAGCTATAATGAAATTTCTAATTAATTATCCAGTATTTTCCCATAATACGAAATTAAGATGGATAATTAATAAAAGGAATATTATGGAGATAATTAGGAATAATTATCTTAATAGATTATATTTTAATTGTGGGAGTAATTATCTCCCTAATTAAAATATGACTTATTCCCAAAGAAAGAGGGAATATTCTGGGTTTTCTGCTACTATAAATAGGAGACGCCCTAGACCCTCTAAATACAGCTCAGAAGAGCAGAAACACGAGAGAGAGTGAATTCTTAGAGCTCCGGTTTTTCGCACAAAACCGATGAGCATCAAAATTAGAATGGTTGTTTTATCCTGGAGGCGACCGACTGATAGTCTGTTGTGCGCAATACGAGGCAGTGCCGCGAACGTCTTAAAGAGAGCGACCTAGTCCGCGACTCAGCCAGATCGGTAATCCTAAAATTTCTGTTCGGTTTATAACAATTTTAAGACGTTTGGTTGCTGTCATATTTGTCGAACAAGATGCCGATTTGGCTCGAACGATTACCGTCTCCCAATGCCTTGCGACGGCTGTTGACGGTAGCGAAGGTTCCGTTTTATCGTCAGAAGAACGAGAATGGTATGGAAGTAGAGATCCGCACTACGGCTCTAGGATTCATGTTGTCCGCGCATGGCAATCAAATTGGGAAAAGCAGCTCGCTACTTTCACTGGGTCGAAGAGAAACAGAGAGAGATTTGGATCTGCTAGCTTGCTCTCTTATAGGCCTTTCATTCTCCTCCGATGCCGAGTAACTAAAAGAATGACCCGGTGCAATTAGTCCAAGGTCCAACCTAGATTGCACAAGGTCAAACTTTGATCCGCGCCGGGAGAAAGCTGGAATTGCATGCGCAAACAACAACAAGAAAAATCAAAATCCAAACGGTCTGGAAGAACTTGTGGATAGCGGCAGCAAGAAGAAATTGAATTTAATGGCAAGTCGTTTTATTGATCAACCGACAAAGAAGGCAAGGGATCTCGAAGATGACCAAGATGCATTCACTGTTGCGATTGGAAAAAGCTGTGCGTCGGATGATCAACAAGAAGGCGATGCCAATTTGATGGATATCTCAATTGATGATGGCAACGCAGTGTAATGAAGAAATCGATCAACCCTGAGATAAGATTAGCAGCAGCTTGGAACTGAAGGAGCTTCTGCAGATACAGAGAAGCTGCTGCTCACTTGAAGAACAGAGCACAAGGAAGGAACGTCGTCGTTCTCTACTCACACGAAGGCAACAAGGAGATTTGTGTTGATAGTCCAGAACGGCAGCGTTCCACTTGAGCGTTGTATATAGTCCACAGTTGACACTTGTACAGATTCTATAGGTTACCATTAGAAAGTTAGTTTTCCATTTTTACTGTTTTGTAGCCGTTAGTTACCTTTACCTTTCACTGTAAATCTTTGGACTATATATGAAATGAGAAAACGAAGGCTCTCATGATCGAGAACCCTTCACCAAAAACCCTAAATCTAAGTTTCTTCTCATGGTATCAGAGCCTGGTTACAGGCGGTACCAGATCTAGTTTTCTCCTTTCAAACCCTAGTCATTTCTTGTGGTGATTTCGTCTCACCATGTCAGGGCAGGCAGCTAGAGTTGATGGCCAGCTGACTGATGATGCTGATACCCAGGCATCTGAGGAAGAGATTCAGAACCAAGCAACTTCTCAAACTTCTCCAAGCGGGCGTCGAATGCAAGCATTTGCAGCCCAGCCCTTTGAAGGACAACCTTTTGCAGCACAGCCATTTGCTACTCAACCTAACACTCCTCGCTTCCCCCAGTATGAAGATCCATATCTGAATCCGTTTTATCTGCCTTCTCATGATGGAGGTTTGACCACCATCATATCCATGAAGCTGACAGATCAAAATTACAACCTATGGAGCCAAGTTATGGAGGTAGCTCTTAGTACTCGAAACAAATTTCAATTTGTGAATGGAATGATTCCTGTTCCTGCTGTTGGAGATCCATTATATCAGTCTTGGCTTAGATGTGATGGAACTGTTCGTAGCTGGATTTATAATTCACTATCAGAAGATATTGCAAACAGTGTTGTAGCTTTCAAGGTTGCTAAAGATGTATGGGACAGTTTGAAGGACAGGTTTAGTCAAGAGGATAA